AGCCGAGCAATGATCGTACAAAACGATTGAAGGAAAAACAGTGTATGTGCAAAGGATATATAAAATTTTTATTTATCGCGAAAACTATATGAGTTTCTCTAACCTCACTTGAAGTAATGATATCTTGGTAGCTATATAGGTTGGTCTGCCATCAGCTACTGTAATTGGCCCATTACTTGCTACCGCATGGAATGTGATCCAATTAGGGAGACAGAGAATGTACAGAGCCGGAGGCAAAGGCTCCTCTCGCCGTTACTTACCCTCCTGCTCCCTCCCCTCCTCTTGCTCTTCCACACGTTCTACAGTCATCCTGCTGCTCCTTCCGCGCGAGTCATTTTATTCTGATTTTTCCTTTCCGCCTCGCCATCTTCACATCTTCTCTTCTCGCTCTTCTTGCGCTGTGAGATTCTTCCGAATTTCATCTTCTTATTTATTTCACACAGAAGTTCTTGGCAATACAAACGTTTTAACAAGAATTGATGTTTGATCAATGATTTAATAGAAACAGGAATTTTTCTAATAGAAATTTTTATTCTAATTAAGTATGACGAATTCCTATTTTTGGTCGAAACATTACTATATGCTACGTGGGAACGAGCAGTTCTGGCTCCCACCATCCAACCTGTTGCAATATTTGCAATCTCACTTTTGTCTGGTCACGGCTAACATATTTTATCTTATTAACTACTGATGTTTAACTATAATGATTTGCGTAACTTTATTTAAAAGTTCTTGTGAATATGATTTCTCTATTCGTTGTTAACACGCTCCTATTTCTTTTATGAACTTCTTACGTATTATTTTTACAACCAAGTTCTTGTACTTCACTTTAGATCGTCCAATCTATCAGTGGCTGCCTTTGTAGAATGAGAAATTAATGTGTCAAATCTTTAGAAAAGCAATGTATCGCTGATGGAAGGAAAAATATATTGTGTGTATAATTATAATAATATGGCATTTCTATTCTACGCATGTCATTGGAATAAGAATGGGAACCAGTGAAAAACAACAATTTTAAGAACAGAAAAGTTGTTTCGATATATAAAGAATAGTAAATTAAAATATATTTGAATTATTTCGTATATGTCCATTGCAAAATATTTGTTATGCTTTTCCAGGAGAAACCACACAAATGTTCGCAATGTTCAAAATCATTTCCGACGCCGGGTGACTTGAAGAGTCACACGTATGTGCATAATGGACTGTGGCCGTTTAGATGTCACATTTGCAGTCGCGGTTTCAGCAAACCAACCAACTTGAAGAATCATATGTTGCTTCATCTCGGTAGATGCTCCAATAAGAAATACATCAAGTCTATCTCTGACTTCTGACTGAATGTTAATTTGTTATTATTTCATATAAAAGTTTAAAAATTATTGATTTATGTATATATACAAATAATGTGCCATTATTGATCAAATACTTAATTTGAGACAAAAGGATAACTAGGATAACTGTTCCTATTAGTATGCCTTTGTTTAAATATGCCAGAAAGAAAATTAGCACAAATAAATAAGAAAAAGTATCTTTTTTATTAAATTAAATTATTAACGTACACGACACCAAAGGTAATATTCCATTTTTTAATTATTAAAGCGTAGTGAACAATTTTTTAAAAGATATAAGAAATTTATGTGAATTCAATAATACTACGAGATTTTAAGCTTATTCCTATTAGTATGCCCTGCTCTTATAGTACAAATTTCCAAAGAACGTTCTGAAGGATGTCTTGAGAACGTTTCCAGGAAGATCTCTGGGATAAAGTGTGCTACTGTATTGAATGTATTGAATTGTGGATGTATTGAAACTGAGAGCGAGTTGTTTATATTGAAATTATGAGTGTACACTAAAATTATAAGTATAATTAAAATAATGATTAATGGAAAATTAACTTAAACGATTAACTCACATCTATCATCTATTTTGCTATCTACATATATGTTAACCGAGTCAAATGCCGAGGCACACAAATTAGGGGCACATGAATGAAGCCATCGCCTTTGAAGGACACACTAATAGAGTCAAAAATTTCTTTTATTTTTATCAAAAACATTAAATATTAACATTTTGTACATTAAAAGGTATTACAAGAAAAAGAAATAGTTGAAAATCGATTTCGAGCAGACAAAAGCTACAATATTTAATAATTAATTCAGTAATGAATAGTTAGCTTAAAGGTAGAACTAATAAGGACAGTTACCTCATATATGCAATTCTTTTATATTGCAATTGATTCAGATTATAATTCAAGTCTGAATACTTGCTCACGATATTAACTTTTAATTTTTGCGGAACTTCTTAGTTATCTAATTCAATATATTAAATTGTACTATTACAAATATTCCACTATACAATTAATATGTAGTCTTTCAAATGAGCATTAATGTATCCTAGAGACCCTCTAATAACAGTCTGGACACAAGTTTCATTTTGTGCAGGGTTTCTAGTTTTAAGAAAATCGTAAGAGAGATACACTCGTTGTTTCTTTCCTTTCCTGTTCTATCTTTTTTTTATTTCCTTCGTTTCTCTCTTTCTTCTTTTCAATAGTTGTTAAAGTTGAAAATTTTCAATAGTTGTTATAGTGGACCAATAAAAAATGACTATTCCGTGTCCAGACTTTTATTAGAGGGTCTTTAAATATATTCATAAGAGTGCGGTTCTTTCTGTCAATATGTAGGGGACACCAGGGCATCATAAACTACAAAAGGAGAACGTGTAAAAATCGTCGATTTCTGCTCCCAATTGGGAAGTAAAATTTTAAATGGTTTTTTTTATTATGTGGTATAATTTTTAAGCTGCAGGATCACGTGATGCAATTAGTTTTCCATAAACAGGGAATATGTATAAAAATGTGAAAGATGTGAGTAAATAAGCACAAATGTATCATAAAAATGAGATACATAATGATCTTCTTACGGAATGTAATTAACTTTCAAAAACTAGCAAATGTATGACATTTTGTTGACAGATTTGAAATTGAGAAGGAAACAAATGTACAGAAACTCTGAAAATGTAAGTTCATAATAAAAATTATGGTTTTCATAATTAAATATCACTATTTAATCATGGAAAACTGTGCACAACTTTTGTTAACTGTCTACAACTCAGCTTATGCCATATAACTTGATGCAACCTAATCTGACCTCATTTAATCCATTCTAATCATATTATACAGATATTCAAAAATATATAAATGATTGCTCGTATATATATGTATGCAAAGCAGTTAAGAGATCAAATCAAAGTCAACAAAACTGGAACGAACCAAATAAGATGGCTAATTAATATAATTTTATTCATATTATAATTAACACTAAAAAATAATTTAACGGAATGTTTTAAACTTTACTTAGCCCTCTTCAGCCGTAAAAATTCTTTCAAAAAACTATAACATTAAATACAACGTAGCACTCGGAAACAAAATAAATTAAACGATTCGAAGGAACACATCTTATTCTACACTCCAATGCTGAAGTTCGAAATAGAAGAAATATTGAAAGAAAAAACCTATTATTGTTTTTCGTTATAAGCTCTCTTTAAGTTCAATATACTTTTGGTATACATCCTTTTGGAAACATCTCTAGGCCCTTTAAAATAATTTTTATCCTTAGTCTCAAAATAGACCTCAACGGCTTTAAAGCTCTTCGTCAGATGAAATCTCCACCTTCGCAAGTCTGTGAAGGAATGTGGATTCCAAGAAATCTTTTACCTACCCTATAATCCAGATTTGGCCCCGAGCGACTACTATCTGTTTGCTAAATTAAAATCGGACTTATGAAAGAGGAAATTTCACACCGCCGAAGAGTTTCAAGCCGTTGAGGTTTATTTTGAGACTAAGGATAAAAATTATTTATTTAAGGGCGTAGAGATGCTTTCAAAAAAATGTACCAAGTGTACTTAAGGGAGATTATATTAAAAGGTAACACCGTTTTTTCCTTTCAACATTTCTTCTATTTCGGGTAAGAAACTTTTTAAACTGGTTTTACTATATAGATAATTTCAAAATTTTCGGAATTTCTTTTAAATATAAAAAAGAATATTCGAGGCTTAGTAGCTGCTATAACAGCCTCTTAACAAAGTCATACATTGAAATCAATAGATGTCCACTTCTGTAAGATTGTTAGCCATCTTCTTGTTGGCACTTAAAAAAAATGATTGATACAAACATTTTCGATATAAAAAGAAGAAGTTTAAAATATTCAATTTTGATCGTGAGCAGACAGCTATATGCGATTATCATTTCGAAAGTCCATACATTCATGAAAGATATCTTATTTATCAATGAAAGCTTGAGAAACCTTCCAAAAATAATAAAGTTGGTTGTTTAAACGCATTGCAAAAATTTATTTTGTTTCCAATGAATGACGATAGATTTTAGAACGTAATGACTAAAAAACACTTTATCTAAGGAAGAAACGTTATATTGTATAATACAATTGAAGAAATTTGCAGAAAAATTTCATTCTCTCCGTATACATCATCAAAGTTAAAGATTGTTCTTTATTTTTCCAGGTTCACTTTAAATTACGTTTGTAGAGAAATCGTTACAGAAATACGTGATTTGAAGTATTCGAAAAAGTTAAGATTTCAGAATTTAAAACATCGTTCTACAACCATTTTTCGCAAAGATACGTAACTTTGACTTTGATCCTTTATAATGCTGATTTTACGTGATCTTATAATTGAGTTTTGTGTATGTATGTGTGTGTACAGAATGTCCCAGAATATTTGGGACATACAATGCGTGTTCAAAGCGAACTAAATTGATTGTAAATCAAAAAGTCCTTTATTATTTTGCAATCTTTGCGGTTAACGATAATTTCTAAAGATTTCTCAATAAGCGCATATCTGTTATCTACCGCTAAATACAAGCGCGCGGTGAGCTGTTTTTTTTTTTTGCCACCGTACATAATTATTACCTCTTGTAGTAAATAATTTGCGCTTTTAGCAATTACGATAGACGTGCATTTATTGACAGTAGATACGTACTTATTCGGCGATCTTTAGAAATTAATATTTCGTTAAATTACGAAACGTATGCAGTGTACGCCTGGAACTTTAGGCGGGCACTGTACAATATAAAATTGTCATTGTAATGCTATTTTCCTCGACTGTTTCGGCGTTAAATTCCATTGTATTATTTTTATTTAATGTTTAGATATCTTTAAATGAATATAATTTGCGTAATTTCATAGACAATTTATTTGATTAGATAATCGGTATGTGCTTTGTTAACTGGTGTAAACGCATTGTAAATTATGTACTGGATGATTATACATACTTCTCATTGCGTTTTATAATTTCGATTGTTGGAGTACAAAACGATGAGCCACATATCTTCTGTAAATATTCTATTAGACGGAACACAATTTGGAGATGTTTAGATTTTTACAATTTTCTTCGTCTTCTTTTTTTTAGGTTTTTATACAATTTTAATCAACTTGTAGGTACTCAATATTTCATGTAATCGTTATCTTTTAAATTTTTTAATATTAGTACATGCCATAACCGCCGCTACCAAGTCCAGCCTTCGTGTCAGCAGGTACTTGTTTTTGAAAACAATCTTCCAAGAACTGTTCCATGGAGAGATATAAATGTCCCTTAACGCCCGCCAAAGTATGACTTACATCCGGATAGACCTGTGAATAAATCAGAGATTTCTATATTGTTATATGATATTATATTCATCATCATATGTAAATAAATTAACTGCATAATATTTCAGTTAGTTTCTAATTTTTTTCATTCAAAAATTTTTAATAAATCATCGATGATAAATAAAATTTATTGCAACATAAAATATGTGAAATATGCAAATCTCTGAAAATTGCAACTAAAATTAAACATTACTGTACTATGTAACTAATGAATTTTATAAGGATTAAATTTAGTTTTAATAAACAAAATGCGTTTGATTTGTGCATTTTAATTTAGATATGAATGTAGTTAATAAAGCAAAGCTAAGAATGAAACATCTAATTTATTCACATCAATATTAAACAATCAGCTTAATTTCAGCAACAATATTGATACATATATCTGTAATTCTTAAAACAAAAAGATTATTAAATACCTGTATACCTCGGCAAATAACTTGCATAAGAACAAACCTTATATTTATAAAAAAAAGGCATTGAAATACCTGCTGTCGAAAAAGTACGCCTTCTTTAGCGAGATGACGGGCAAGTGCCATGGACTGTTGGAATTGAACGTTATCGTCCGCAGTTCCGTGCACCAAATAAAACATCTTATCATGCAGGTACTTTACTTTGTTATAAACATTAGATTCAGCATAACCTTTGTAATTGGATGTCACATTCGGTAATCCCATGTACCTCTCGGCATATGCAGAATCTGCATAAAAATCATTCATGTTAAAATCATATAAAGTAACAAATACAGATAAAAATTTAAAGGTATAATTAAAAATTATACCCATAATTTTTTTAACGGATCTGAAAAAAATATCTCCTCTAGTAACATTTTCCATCCGTTCACTCTAACAGATAAAATTATAAATTGTCCTTTTTTTTGGAAAATCTTTAAAACTAAGCAAAAATGAGCATATCTCTAAAAGATTTTTTTTCTTAGTTTATCGATTCCCTATACGCTCCCGAAGTTTGGCCATTTAAATTCGGAACATCCTGTATATCTCCGTGATTTTTTTAGTAATATTTTACCATAAAGCTCCCAGGAGACGATAGGTGCGACGCTTATCCCGCATTGAAACACCTTCTGTTCCGGATGAGCCAGCACAAGAGCGGCAACAAAACCACCGTAACTCCATCCCCAAACGGCGACTCTTCGTTTGTCCACGAAATGCAGAGAGTCTCTTAAATACCTGGACAATTATAATCTTATTGAGAATAATGATAAGTCTTATATGTATGTGCTCTACAGAAATTTTATATGTCTAAGCTTTACAAGGTAAGTTGAATATAAGGGCTAAAAAATAATTAATTATGTACAAATATAACTTATTTTAAATTACTTTGAATCAAACAATAAGGCACTTTTTACACATTTTTGTATGCCGAAAATGATGCCAGAAAATAAATTTCACTAGCATGCCAGGTTTTCGAAATAATTGAGGTTTAATGTGCAATAAATGATTTTTTGACATTTTTTTTATAAAAAAATTTCGTCCATTTTCTAAAGTTCTACCAAAGTTTAATAAATATATATGTGCACACCAACGTCCAGTGTTGGCTCTTTATTCAACGTTATATATCTGATTTAATTCATTAGAACCTTGCTTAGTAAAAGTATTTAAATTGTTTTAAAATCTTTTGTTTAGACAAAGATACTTTAGAAAACAGGTATATTTTAATTTTTAAAAAATATATCAATTACTCTGTAACTTCAAGTTGATCAGCCACTTCTACAGAACCTAGTCTATAATACACCTCATGTAATAATTTGTAGCCTTGTCCTCCACTTCCTCTGCCATCGATTTGTGCGACAATAACATTTCTCCGACTAGCCAAATATGTATTCCAGTCCACTTTAAACATTTCAGTGACTAATTGCGACCCAGGAGCACCGTATCTGAAATAATGAATACTGTTGTGTATAGACAAATGTTCAAGTTTTATATGATTTTTTATTGAGCAATAGTTAAATAAATATAACTATATTTATTAATTATATCTTTAATTGCTAGGTGATAGCAATTAAAAAATAACTTCCATTAGTGTATTTTGACATAATTATTAAAATTGACAAGGACTTTCTTCTTGTTATAAATTAAAACAAATTATAAAATAGAAATATATCAAAGTTACTCGTTTATAATATTTAAATTGCTTTAAATTAAAAAAGAACAATAATTTTTTATGCACGTTCGTATTTTCTTAACTATAGTAATTACGAAAAATGATTATTTGAAAGTATTTTGATTGATGAAAATGAAGAAATGAAGTTAAATCTGCGCTTGAATCAGTTTCAAGAAAAGATGCTGACGCGACATAAAAGAATTGATAGAGCTATTCTGATTTCTAATCACGAATTTCATGAGAAAAATCTCACATTATGTGTTAAATTATTATTATAGAATGGTAAGCCTATACTTTAAAGTGCTTTTATACTAAATATTGTCCGATGGTGTTTCATCAAACTGCAGTACTTCAAAGTAAGACAAAAATTACAAAAAATATGTATATTCAATTTTATGTAATTTAAGAAAATGTAGAAAAAAATTGAAACTCACACAGATTTAAGGTCTTCTGCGCTTTAAAATGCGTGATCGAAAATTTCTATACGATCTTCTTTCATCAAGATATTGAACTTTTCGTCAAATGCGAAAAAATTTCAAGTGCCGGGGATGTACATAAATTTTTATAGAACGAAAGCGTTTTAATTAGACATCTAAATCTAATTCTAAGAACTCGATGTTCCTTCATGTAATCTACTTGTTTATATGGCTCCAATTTCATAAGTACAAATTACAGAGCTTTCGTATCAAGCAAATGTTACGATAGTTCTAGACGCCATTTTGGACTAAGAAATTGTAAAAAGGATCACAATTTCAAAAATTTTTGTCATTCTCGGCATAAATTTCAAGCTGCAGCACGTATTAATACATATATTTTAATTTTGGAGAAGGATCTCCAAATCTGTAAAAGTAGTATGAACGATATCGTTCTACGAAAATTTATTGCATTCAATTTTTAAAACAGACGACTTTATGATCCCATTAAAAGTAATACACAATATGTATATTTTTGACATACTTACACCTGAACCACCAATGGATAACGTGTAATCTCATCCTCTCTTAGCCCGGGTGGTAAATGCAATCTCACCTGAGCGTTGTACCCACCACTTATCTGCACAGGAAATGTCTTTACCTGTGGAAGTGCGATGTTTGCTATTCTTTCCTGTAATAAACATTTGTAAGATTATATATATATATAATTTAAAAATCTATTTAATTCAGGATAATCTAAATCTAAAGTTTATAATTTGAGCGAAATTTATAACGAAGTTTATAACATACGCGCAACGACGTATTATTCTGTAATGTTGCGAGGAGTCGCGGAGTAGACATTTCCATTTTGTAAAGGGCCACGGTAGGTACACCAGGTCCAAGGCACTCGAGAACGAAATATTCAAAATCCGCGGATGGGAAGATCGCATTGTGATATTGACAAGGTGGGTCGCCGCTTTCTAAAAACACAGACCGCATGAGGTCGAGTATCTAATAAAAATTAGACGTATATTGAACGAATGACAACTAAGCACTTGGCTGTATTCAGGACGTTCTATAAAAATTGTTTCCTTACTCAATCCAAATCATATATGTATAAACCTCGAACAAAAAACTGTTATATTAAATTAAAAAATAAAATTTAGTAGTAGGTGATAATATTTCTTATTAAAATAATAAAACCTAAGTGATACCTTTGTATAATTGACGCGAAGTTACAGCCCTGTTGTCTCATTCAACCCAAATGATATACAAATACTCAAAGACATAGAGAATGGACTGCGCGATCCGTATCTCAATAGTATTCAAATGTGGTCGATAATAACGAGGAAAAGGGACCATGGAAGACGATCAGTCTCCCATTCTTTCTCCCATTACACTATTGAATGGAAAGAGATAGAGATTGGCTGCCTTCCACGTTCTCTCTCTCTCTCTCTCTCTCTCTCTCTCTCTCTCTCTCTCTCTCTCTTATTTTTATCAACCATTTTGATACACAGATTTCATAGTCCATTCTCTATATCTTTGCAAATACTCGATATCAATCACCTAGACATTCAGTTCCTCAATAGCGAACACGTAAACAACACCTAGACACTTAATTCCTCGACAGCGAACATCTATAAATCTAGACACTCACTTCTTCGGCGACGATCTCGATATTTCATTTTGAATAATTCGCGCCGCGCGCGTCACAGCCGTCACGTGCAACGCTGGTCTGCGCTGGTTAGATCGATAGATGATATAAAGTCAAAAGCCATCTATTATTGAAAAAACGAACCGTACATTTCTCCTCTAGTCGACGAACATGTCAATAACGACGTATTTTAAAATCAGGAGATAAATTTCAACACATTGGTTGCGTTCAGTAGAAAAAGCAGCTTTGCAACTGTTGTAAAATTCTTTAATATGATCAGTCTTGCCCTTAGTTCCTCACTAAATTTAAATGTATAAACCAATCATATTCAAGAATTTTACAACAATCGCAAAGCTGCTTTCTCTGCTGAACGCAACCATTCAGACTTTGCGTTGCAATATCTTCGCTCGTAATGCACGTACAGAAAAAAATAAAAACATTTTCATTATATATTCCGAGTGGAAACAATCGATAGAGCACACTTAGAACTTGATCGGTTCAGCTGTTAAGCTCTGTATTTTGATATCCGATAATCTCAGTCTCCCGCAACTTGCCAACTCGCGTAATTAAGGAGTATGGCCGGTCTCGCTTTGTGTTGTAAAGTGTACGCAAAGCGAGGGAAATTTCACACTTAAATAAGGAGTTCCTAAATACGTCTGTTTTTTTAACATTTGACAAACAAGGATGAAATAATTCTTAAGCGCTGTGAGCATGAATCAGACCGCGATGTTAGTAAACTTTATCTTTTTTAAATTGTACAATTGTTAGAAGGGTATGTCTCTTTCATACAATATAACAAATTTCTCAATTCAAGTTCCTATATTATATATACAGGTATTAAACTAGTACTCTATATTTTTATTTAAAATAGATATTTCAATGGATACTAAGTATTAATAATATTTTTATTTGTTATATTACATATCTTTTCTCCGTTGGAAAATAATAAAATATTAAGTAAGTTTCAAACTTTTCAAATAAGACACAGGATAAAAAATAATGTTGGCACTCACTTGAAACATTCCTGTTTTTTGACTTGTCCTTTTTATCCTTTGCTTGATGATGTTCCTTGTTATTATCAGTTTCGTGCCATTCATTTCGATTGATGAGACCATTGAAAGAACTAATTCGATGTCCATTTTCGTCATCGCTTGTCATGTCAGATGAGATGGTGCATGTGAGGCACATAGGAGGCCTCAAGGGCGATCCTAGTCGAGGAAGAGTAGAACTTATACGATAAAGGTGTCTCTGACCCGGTCTCATAAATGGAATACCGATGAAATATCTAGTTAAAATGCAAATTGTTTACAATGTTAAATTGTAGGCACTAATTTTATGAGTTACTTGCTCACATAGTATTATTTGTTTGGTCCCATACTAAAATCCTAACGATCTCAAATTTTCCATGCGTCAAAGGCACTACTTGTTTTCGAAGCACACTAGCCCAAATTATATGCTTGAAATATCCCGCCGGTCCATCTTTCACTGGAGTTATTGCGATGTAACTGCTACCATTTGTTGAAAAGAGAGGCGCTTCTGGTGGAGTATCCACCCATCCATGATTATTCTCATTTGATATTCTTTGTATTTCCTAAAATAATTAATTCATAATTTTAATAATTCTTAATTAAATATATTTGTTTTTTATATCTATATAAAAAATATAAATCTATTATTTAATATCTATATAATATATTATCTAATATTCAAAAATAAAGGATTATAAAAAAGACATAAAATTTAAAATTTTTTAAATACTCTAATGAAAATGTAGTATATAAAAAATGAAAACAAGAGTCAAATATAGATTTCAAAAAGTGCAGGAATTATTAATACCGATATTTAATACGAATACTTATATTTAATTGCACGTATCTTATCTGAAAGAAAACGACATTAACTAACCTGACAGTGCCACATTGGGCTTTTACAGATGGTAATTACTGAAAAATTTTGGACTCGTGTCAACCACGTTATGCAGACTTCTGTCAGAGATACCCAGGAAGCAGTCGAGAAATAATGGTCCCTGACAAAAAAAGACAGAAACGCATTTGAAAGATAATATCAATGGTAGAGAAATTGAGGGCATCTATCACAAACGCTCGTTGTTCTTCAGCGAAACTCAAATGTACCATAATGGGGCAGTACATCGTTAAGAATTCGGCTAGTAGAACATGGTATCCACATACGATATCAATCTTCACAAATTTACTAGAACACAGAATCTGGAAATTCTTTGTTTCAATCACAACCTCAAATAAACGATTGTAAATAAATTGGAATACGAGATGAAATTCGCCGGACACATTCTAAAATATGTGACAAACTATAAAAAGCTTATAAAATAAATTCAACGAGCGCACTTATGTAAATTGTAGTCATGTTAAAAGAAATAACTTAGATTTATATATATATATATATATGTTGTGAATTTTATATTTACATTTTTAATTTTATATACTGAGGATGGCTTAATCTAAGGCCGAAACGTTTATATTTTTATTAATTGTGATTCTTTATGTATTTATTTTGAGACGAGTTTCGCTGAAGAACAACAAGCGTTTGTGGTAGATGCCCTCAATTTCTCTGTTTTTAATATTGACCACGTTATTTATTTATTGAATATCAATGATGTATAAATGATAGATAAAATGCATATATACTATGTGCGATAATTTTTAAGACAAAAATTATACATGAATTTTTGCCAAGAATTTACGATTTCTCCGAGAAACAACGAAAGACATGATGAGTATAATGTTATATTTTATCTTTAGTTAACATTCGGAGAACAATAATTACTATTTCATATATATTTATGTTTATTATGAATTTTTTAAAACAATTATTAATATTCTAAATCTGATAATTAATGATCAGTAACTTTACGATCAGTAACCTGTGTATTAAATTGCAAAATGATAAAACCGTGTAACATAAGAAATATTTATTCCGAATAAAATTAACAAGCTTACGTATGCTCGATGACTGATGGTGGTTTCACTATCTTCGTACGAATATTTTTCGGATCAACTAAATCAGCAACATATAATCGTACAGAAGGATTTGGTGTTCCTGGCTAGTAAATAAAACACTTCTAAAGTACAGTGTTCTTTTCTTCTTTTATCTTGTTAACAGAACATAAATAATATAAAAAAATTCTGATTTTAGTAAAACTGCAAAATTTTTTTTACTATCGTGTACCTTAGGATATCGTAGCGATCGTATATCAGGATATAAAGCTTTGTTTCCCTCTCCAAACCATGAAATGTGCATCTCTTCTACAAGAGAATCGTTGAACGAGGCATAAAGCATCATATGACCATCAGGCGACATCCATATTGCTTCTGCACTGTGCAATATTTCCTCTATAAATAATAATTAGATAATAAATAACTTATTTATACTTTATTAACACTCTATCGGCAATGTTGTTCTTTTGAAGCCTAGCCAATTTTTTAATTGTGAATTTTAAGAGAATGGATACCCTAATAATACACTTTATCTTTTTATTTTTTTTCCTTAGTTTATGTCATCGCCATATAAAAGTTAAAAATTGATAAGTATTTTACCTTCGTATAACCAATCTGGTACACCATTGGACAATATACCAGGCACTGCAGTGTTCGTTACACGATATGCAGTATTGCTTGTGGGACTTGTTGTGTAATAAATATCGTAGTCCTGTACCATGACGAGTCCATGTCCGCGTGGAGTCCATTGCGCTAGCAAAAGATATGGATGACTCTCTTTCTCAGGATAAGGTGTTAACGCTACGCACTCTCTGTGAAATTATTCGTAAAAATTTCTATATTTGTGCCAATGTGCTATTTGTACTTATACTGACCGTGAATTGACGTCATAAACAATATATTGCGCTAAGTACGAATAGCGAAACAGTTTCTTCACATTTTGTGCAAGAAGCAAAAATTGATGATCCGGCGATAAAGAGAATTTTACGGGATTCAATCGTCTCTGCATAAAAAAGTGTTAATGTTTATGTCTTAAGTAATAAGAGCAGTAAACTGATAATAATATATTAAATTTATATTTATGGTAAATTTTTTAAATAAAAACTTACGAATGTCTCATTTGGCATTAAACTGCGCGATACGATGTTCGAGACATTTAACAGAGAAATGCCACCCCAAATATCTCGATAACATATGTGGCGATTACTCGCCCAAGATCCATTGAATAATAAAGGAGATAATTCGCCAGAGAGTACCTAAAATATAGAAAAATATTTTTGAACAATTCCTATTTATTCCATAATTTTTTAAAAATATGTCAATTAAGGTAAATGTAAAACACACTTCTGATATCTGCAAAAATATGTACTACACGTGCGCGGACGTAAGAAAGAGACGCAGAGAGAGAAAGAGAGAGAGAGAGAGAGAAAGAAGGAAAGAAGAAAAGGGAGAGGAGAAATAAGAAATGGAGAGAAAAAAATACACGACCGGACGAGAATGAGACAAAGATAGAAAAAAGAGAAAAAGAAAGAAATACAAAACACATTCTATGCTCTAAATTCTAAAATATAAAAAAAAACAATTTATCAAATTGTTGATTATATGATAATATAATTAATTAATTGCATAATATAATTAATAACATAATCAAAATCCCCTCTGCCCTTGAAAAAATCAAGTCCTAGATACGCCCATATTTATCACATTTCTTCCTCATTTATGAATGTTAATACAAATCCGCTATTACTTACCTCGGAGAGACGTAATCGTGTTCCGCGTACTCTAGGGCCATCATCGGGAGGTGTGAGCAAAGCTACGGAAGTGACAATAAGAGCTAGGACTGCGACGATCACGAGTAACGCTATTAAAATCCCACGCCAATTCCTTTGATTTGGGTTGGTTGAAACTAGCTCCTGTCACAAAGGTCTTTACTAACGCTAATGTCAAAAATGATCGAGTTATCATATGCCATGTATTTATTATTGCTACTTTCCATAGTTTGACGTAATACTGCATGAAAAATATTGTCAATATCTTTGTTAAAAATAAACGTAAATTTCCATTTCGTGATGACAATATCATTAATTAATTATTAAAATTAATTATGGGTAAAAATACGTATTTATCTTATCATTTGTATTTAATATTCTGTAATTTAATTTGACAACTAGAATACATCATATTTTTTAAAATTTAGATAATATTAAAATTTGTTTGCATTGAAAGTAAAAATGCTTAAATAAGGATAAGTCTAAAAAACTCGATATGAGTAAAATTTAAATTAATAAAACGTTTTTAATATATTTTTATGATAGTCTTTTCTTTTGCGCATAGATGATAAAAAATAATTATAAATGAGCAGTTGATATTATTAATAAAATGTTAAAAATTATATAAACAATAATCACGATATAAATTGATGAAATTGTAAATTTTATAAATACGTCCATTATATCTTTTTATGATATTTAAAGTGTTAAAACTCTTAATACTCTCTATAATATTAATACATTGTGTGTAAGCAAAGCAGTCGGTTATAGGAGCTTCATGGTGAGAGTAACTAGTCAGCTGCTGTCAGCTAAAATCAATAGCGAGGAAAGCGACGGTACTGCGCTGTGTGCGTCAATGTGTTGAGAGGAAAATGTGTATTAATGTATGACATATTCTTGAAAATAGATTTCGAAACAGATTAATTTCAAATTTCAATGAGTCTAATTTTTCGTAGGTAATCAAAACTATCTAAACATTGAGCTTTTTGAAACTACCATCAAATAATGCACATCCCCGATGAAAAAATTACCTGAAATTATTCCACGTTTTAGAACATTTTAACGAAATTGTTGAAAATTTGCCAAAATTTAAAAGAAAGTGAATTGTTTAGCTAACATACTGAAAAAATCGCTGAAATTAAACTGAAATTTCTCTGAAATTTTGCTGAAATTTCGTTGAAATGTGTTCTAAAATGTGGAATAATTTCAGCGAAATCTTTCCACCAGGCATATAAAATGATTAAATGCAATTTATTATTTAATCATTGTTGCGTTTATTTATATTGTGTGTGTGAGTATGTTTATAATAAATATTATCTTTTTTATAATTTTTTATTTAAAATTTATATTAGCTTTCGTTTCTGTTCAACAAGGTTGCATTGCTGATCAAGCATCTTAAACAAAAATGTTCTTGGCAAACATTTTTCTTAATATAATGTAAACATGAATTGAAGAATTTTATAATTAACATGGTATAACGTTTTTATAAATGAAACGAGAAAAATAACTTATTCAAAAACACACACACACACACACACTCTCTCACATACGCACACATAGTCCTTAAATAGAGAAATAATGATTTTATGACGATTCTAAGATCAAAGAACATTCATGCCAATAATTGTTATTTTATATATAAAATTTCAAAAAAAGTTTAAAAATTTTATTTATTTATGGGTTTAATTTAAATCTTTTATTTTGAATTATTTAAGTCTTTAAGATCTAGCTTCGACCGGTATAGGGCTCTCATTTATCGATTATGTTTCTCACATATACGGTCTAAAAATGATATTATCTTTTATTTTGTCATCATTATATATTGATTATATATTTTTTGCATATATATATCCACATTCCAAGTTTCATCAATAATATTTATTTATAAGTAACATAAATAAAATATATTATTATTTTTTATAAAAAAATAAGCTATTTTTTATAGAAAATTATAATTTTTCACTTCATATTATGTGGATATTAAAAAATAAATAGACGAATTTTGTTGCACAAAATTACTCAACTTTATAAAAAAATTTAGATATAATGTGTGATAGCAAGTTAATAAGATAGTTTAATTAATTACCTCGTCATCATAAATATTGTCGTGATCTGCCATCGGTGGTGCAAATCGAACACTCCGTGGCTTTTCTTTTACCTGAGATGTGAAACGACGCAGTCCTTTGCGTTTATCCCATTCGACATTGGTAGTAATTTCCACAATCGAAATTTATTCGCTTCACAATTTTGAATTTATAACAAGATCGCTTTGTTTGATAGCTATAATTGTCTCATAGCTATACTTGCACCGTGCGAATTTTCGATACTGAGCGACAAATCATCCCTTCCGAGAGATGCTGCAGATGTAGAGTTTGCGCATTCGATAGTGGATGCTGCGCTATACAGAGACAAGTAGAAAGGGAAGTACAGAGAAAGGAAGGGAGGAAAAAGAGAGAGAAAGGAAGAGGGATGAAAAAAAACCGATATATAAAAATAATCCTGCGCATATAAACTTAAGAGATAGAGAACCGATATACAACATAAAATAATTATAAATGTAACACTTTCTATCATCGATCCATAAATCGTTGACATATAATAACATTAGTTTGATATACTTACATAAATAAAAATTATAATTAATGATACGGAAACGCGTTGATGAAAGGAAGAAAAGGAAGCAGAAGCTGGAATTAACTAATAAATCCCCAGAACTAAGCATATATCTCAGCAATATCGCGCAAATCTGTGATTGATATGATGCTGCAGGTAACTTGTCGTACCTATAATTTGTTTTCAACGATTTCAAATATACCGACATTGTATAAACCACACGTATAGGCAACAATATATCTACACATACACACGCTGCATGTATAATGGTGTTCCAAATTTAAATGGCCAAATTTCAGGAATGTGTATTTCAGGAAATCGATAAACTAAGAAAAAAAATCCTTTAGAGATATATTTCGTTTTTGCTCCATTTTGGAAAAAATTGCAAAAAACGGATAAAAGGTAATTTTCGGAATATTATTGTTTTTTCGTATACTATTTCAGTGGTATAATGAATAAGCGCGGCCCTATGCGGCCTTTGTTAAGAGTGATCCGAGAGAGAGCGTTCCAAGTGGTATTGTCCTTACGTTTGTTCGCGTCGCATGCTCCAACATGTTCCAATATGCTCCTACCATAGCTCTAATGCGGAGTCTACAATAAAGTCGTAGCGGTCGTAAGGTCTTAAGTTGTAGAAAATTGACCAATCACAGTTGATTATTCTTCTCATATTCGACTGTGATTGGTCAATTTTCTACGACTTAAGACCCTACGACTGCTACGACTTCTATTGTAGACCCCGCATTAGGCCGGAATCAGACTAGGCATTGAAGATTGAGATTGAAGATTGAAAGATTGAAATTTGACCAATCGAAAAGGAGCTAAAATTTCTTTGTCCTTATTGGAAGATTGAAATTCAATTTCAATCTTCAATCTTTAACCTCAATCTCCAATGCCTAGTCTGATTCCGGCCTTACTTATTCCAACGCGCTTGATATAGCTTGATAGAGTGAATAGGAGCTATATTGGAGCTGCGATGCGAACAAACCTCTCATCTGTACTCAGCTGTAATTGCACATGCGCAGTTATATAACTGAGTATAGGTTAGAAAAGGATAAAGATACCACGGCTGCGTTCGGAAACATCACCCGAGTGCCCCCATGTATCGTTTTCCTTGTGTTCATCCAATGTTAAACAAAGATAAAATGATACATGGGAGTACCCAGGTGATGTTTCCGAACGCAGCCCACTTGAGACGCTCTTTGTCGGATCGGCAAACTAGCGCCAGCGCTCGTTCCAATTATATTTCAGTGGGTCTCTCAGATTTCTCTCTGTTGTTGTTTACCGAATGTTAAATTAAATAAGAATGACATGACCCCGAGGAGCACCCAAGGTTGCGTTCGGAAATATCACCTGAGTACCCCGTGTATCATCTTATCTTTGTTTAACATTGGGTGAACAATAAGGATAAAATGATACACGGGGATACTCGGATGATATTTCCGAACGCAGTCCAAATGAGAATCAACACTCCTTGGCCGGTATTCATAGTCAGATCTTATATTCAAGACCGTCTTAAGTACAGTCTTAAGATGTCACGAACCAATCAGAGGGTCGCATTAGTGTCTTAAGACGTTACTTAAGACGGTCTTGAAATAAGAATCGACTATGAATACCGGTCCTTGACTGTCCGGCGCGCAATATCATTGCCGTAGCGACAAGAGCTCGTAAAAAGTCGCACGAAATTTAGATGTAACGACATTGCCGGGATTCATAATTTCTGTCGTTCCAAAGTATAAGAGAGCAAGAAAGGCTACGTTTCATGATCAGCAATGCTATTCCCGTGCGTATCCATGTCACGAGTTTCCACAAAATTTCTTATTCTTCTTTCTGAGATAAATCTTTCTTAATTTGATCGCCAGGGCGCTTACGCGCACTTTTCCGGTACATCTGAAAACTCTTTGCGTCTGAAAACAATACGCATCACGTTGAACAGTGTTCCGATCGGTGCTCCCTTTCTTGCGCATGCGCGTCAAGAACAGGATCAGTGCAGTATCTAGGGCTGCGGTCCACTTGACGCTACAAACGCTTCGAAGTATTCTTTGATTAGTCAATTCGTAAAATTTTTTGTTCTGATTGGTCGTTCAAACGCTTCGAAGCGTTCGTAGCATCAAGTGGACCGCAGCCCTTGGTACCTATCATGGAACAAAATCGGAATGGATTCCGATCGGAATTATTCCGTTTTCTCCGGAATTCAGAAAACACAATAGAAATCTAGGGTATAATTGAATAATTTCGATCGGAATCCATTCCAACTTTGTTCCATAATAGGTACTTATCTCCTTATCTATTTCAAATTCAATCTAGGGTGAAGATATAGCAATGGGTTGGCAATTCTGGACATAATCTGTCTGCCCATCTCAGGTTTCTTGTTTGCTTGAGATTTTTGTAAGGTGCGAGAGTTATTGAAAGAAGCTTCGTTTATTTTTCCTTTATTTCCAATCTATTATGTATTATGACATAGAGAGTAAATCACACAAATTGTATTCTATTCCAGATAGTAATAAATTTTAACCAATTGTATGTAATAACCAAGAGATCAAACGAGATGTCGGCATCTGAATCTTTAGCAATAGTGCAATCCAAGTTCGTGTCAGGCGAAACTGTTTTGACTGTATCCTTTCTTAAACTTAATAAATAATGGATATATTGTATCATTGTGATCAGTAATAATTTGCTATTAATTAAAAGCTTTATTTTTAGTCAAGTATTATTTGGTTAAAGATTATTTTATCATGATTCGATATTACTATTATGAATTACAATTATATTTTTACAATATAAGTATATAATATTATCTATATATCTTAACTGTATGACATTAGACTACAGAAGCGTCATTAATACAAGGATGGATACAATCTTCAAGATATATTGCTCTTGTTTACAAAGGTACAACCCATGCTTTAGCAATTTTTCTAACTTCAAAAACACCACCACAAGTATACAGTGATCTGACCTTGGAAGGAATATTACCTATTGATCAAGACTTCAAATGTAGTATAGGTACTTTAAGCTTTGCTATGTATTATGTATTAATTCTATACATGATATATTAATCTTTAGGAACTATAAGAAGATTCTATTTTTTTAATCTCCTTTAAGATTTATTATTATAATTCATATTCTTTGTTTCAAAATATGATACTTTTTCAGCATCATTAGGCCGGAATCAGACTACGCATTGAATATTGAGATTGAAGATTGAAAGATTGAAATTTGACCAATCAAAACAATAGGAACTAAAAATTCCTTTGTCCTCACTGGTCAAATTTTAATCTTCAATCTCAATCTTCAATGCTTAGTCTGATTCCGACCTTATAGTGGCTGAAATACTGTATAAAAATTAATAATTTTAATGCTTATTAATTAGTTTAATTAATTTCAGAATTGCATCGCTTCTTTGCTTAAAGTAATACAACTCAAAAATATTGAATTTCCTAGAAAAAGAGAAAAATCATTAAATATTTTTTTATTAAAGTGTCTTTTTTTAATTAAAGATACTAATGGAGAAACACAGGATGGCCTTGATATATATATGAATATTACATCAAGAAAACTTCGCCTGATATTTGAGATGAAACTTGGAGAATCTACCAGTTCTTTAGTATCACAAATATTTCGAGCGATAGAAGGTATGCACATACTTATTTAACATATAATTTTTATGTAGAAGAAATTTATCTATCAACATTTATCTATCAACAAAATAATTATGATTTTAGTATATCAAACAGCTAAAAGTCCTGCAGAGGAATTTTTGTGGATTGAAAAGCTAACGAGAAATAGGAGAAACTTGGCTACTGGTGGCAAAGATATGCAGGATCCTGCCGATTCTGTAAGTTAGTATAATAATAATTAATATTATAAAAATTTAAAATAGGAACGATGGAACCTGTTTTAGTAAAAATTTATTTTTTATAGTTGCTCAATCTTGAGAATCATGATTTAGCAATACCACGACAAAGCATTGCCTCAGGTAGATCCCCAGTAGCTGCAAGAGAATCAGTGGTACGATATCAGATGGCCTGTAAAGAAGATGATTATACATATAGTAAAACATTTCGGTTCGTTTCACATTATTATGATTATATATCCAGGTCCTTTGTTTCAGTTTAAAAATGAATTTTTGTGCATATGATCATTCATGAGATGTGATTATTATCAATAATTACAGTATACTTACTTGCACGTGGAACGTAAATGGACAACCCCCAAATAACATTAAATTAAATGAATGGTTAAGCACGGACGAAATGCCACCAGATATATACGCTATCGGATTCCAGGAATTAGATTTGAGCAAAGAAGCATTTCTATTTCATGAAACTCCTAGAGAAGAAGAATGGAGGTATATATGTCATTTGTATCAACCTTGAAAAAGTAAAATAGTGTGTCCATTTTGCCTATCAAATAACTTTTTTAAATAATTCATTATAATGAAAAATGATTTATAATTATATAACATAAAAATTTTGTCATAGACAAGTTATAGTTAATTCGCTTCATCCAGAAGGGAATTATACACAAGTAGCTCTTGTCAGATTAGTGGGCATGATGTTATTAGTCTATGCGCTTGAAGCTCATATACCATTCATCGAAAATGTGTGTACTGATACAGTAGGAACAGGAATTATGGGAAAGTTGGTAAGTTTCTAATACACAAATTACTTTATAATTATATACCAAGATGTTAC